GGCGCGAAGCCCCCGAACCCAGCCGACAGCCTATTCCATTCTGTGATGATCTCATGGCCGTGACAGAAGGTCCGGGCTCGTGCTGCCTGGGCCCACATCATCTTTTCCCTTCAGAGCTAACGTCCTCTGGTCTTTGTACCCTTGGTTTTATCCCTTGGTTTGTTATTGTCCTTGTTATCACTGCTGTTCCTTGCTCCTCTTGTTGTATTAAATTCTCCGTATCACAAGCCCCAGGGTTCTGTACTTTTCCCCCTCTTCTCCTTCCCATCTGGGGGGAGGGAAGGGTAGCGAACGAGTGGCCATGTGGTGCCCAGCTTCCGGCTGGGTCTCAACCACTGCAGAGGTCTTTGTGCAGAGAGCTGTCTCTGCGGAGCTCACAGCTGATGGCAGACGAGCACCTCACCCAGGAGGGAAAGGGAGGGGAGAATGCGGGCCACAGAAAGGAGAGGGACCGCCCTGGGCAGCAGCCCTCTGCCAGGAGCGCCAGCGTTCTCCTCCCGATGGTGTCCCCAGCACAGCGGCCGGTGAGCACTGCAGTGCTGACAGAGAGGACCGGGGCCTGCATCTCCCCTGGCCCTGGCTGCCACCCAGGTGGCATTTCACATGGGCCCAGGAATTGCTGCGGGCAGCTCCAGCTGGTCAGGGACCGAGCGAGAGGCACCGCTGCTGGGCCTCTCTGTGCTCCCTGGGGTCCTGTGGAGAATCTGCTCATGGGAGACACTGACCGGGGAGCTGGTGCCCCAGAACTGAGCACACAGGACAGGGAGAAGATGCCCGTGATGTGCTCTGGCGCCTGTGACACCACCGGCACGCGTCACGGTGTGGGGCGGCTAGAAGTGCACAGCTGTGATGATGGCTGGTTCATCAGATAGACTGTCCCCATTTACCTTCTGAACAGGTTTTCACTCTGATTAAGAAGCAGATATGGGGTGTCAGCTTCAGATGAGGGTGTTGCACCTACAGCAGGTCTCAGCACTCAGGAAGCGCTCAGCTTTCGTGACTGGATTGAATGGTGTCTGGCCAGCCCAGAGTCCAGACCCACGAGGTGGGAAGGAGTCCGTGGCGGTGCTTTGGCTCAGCCCAGAACCTTCTTCTCTCAGTGCCTCTTGCTCCGCAGCTACAGGTGACCCAGCTTTGGGAGCCTCTGCCAAGAATATTGTAAGAAACGAATCCCAAAAATATCCAAATAAAACCCCAAAATATCAAAATAACAAATGCTTAAGTCACAAACACTTCAACACAAAAAAAAAAAAAAAAAAAATTTAAATCCACAACAGTTAACCCCTCTACGAATAAACAACTAATAAACCAAAATAAAAATAATACTCAAATCAAAAAAATAAATACAATACTTAATATTTTCATAAAGAAAGAAATCCAAGAATACTATATACTAATTCATTTTCCATCTTTAAAAACTACATCAAAGAAATTACTTTCTAAAAACAAAATAACTACAAAATTAACAGAATCCCAATCTAACAAAAAAACCCCCGATATATACTAACCATTACCCAAAGGAA